GGTACCGGAGAAAAAAAAAAAAAAAAAAAAAAATAAAAATAAAAAAGGAAACCACAGTTTGCCTAGCCAGTAGCATTCCATTTTATAGGAAGATAAAACACAAACTTATGTGTGTCCCAGAGACAGTCTTCATGTATTTATCTTACTGAAAGGGCTTAATGTGCTCTTATCTTGCAGAAATACATTGCTAGAGACAGTTTTTCTTGTTGAAATGGCACAGTGTATATTAGTAACTTTACCATTGTCTTAATTACTTTTTTCTTGTTGCTGAGACAAAATACCTGATACCCAAAATTAAAGAAGGAAAGGTTTATTTAGTTAACAGTTTGTGAAGGTTTCAGTCCATAATCAGCTGGCTCCAAGGCAGGGTGGCATGGCAGAGGGGCAACAGTTCATAGAAGACAGGAAAAGCAGCAAGAGCAGAAGGGGCAAGAGGAGGGGGGCGAGCCTCTTTCCCTCCCTTATGTTGTATGCAAGTTACCTGCCCCAGGGCAGTGTAGCACTCACATCCATAATCCCAGCATTAGACCTTAGATCAATCACAAACTCTAGAAGCCCGTCCCCATGACTGTATGAGGTTTTGGGAGACATCTAGACAACAAACTATAGCAACCATCAAGGTCAGTATCATTTAGTTTATAATTAAAATTACTAGGCAGGTATGCTGGCACACACCTATAATCCAGCACTCTGAGGCTGGGGCAGGAGGATCTAAAAAGTTTGAGCCCCTTTTCTTGGGTCAGGAGGCTGGGCATATAGCTCAGTGCAGAGGCCCTCGGCTCAGTCCCTAGTATTGCTCCCCCCACCCCAAAAAAGAAAAAAAATACCCCCTTCAGGATTAGAGACCACTCATGTAGTCAAAAAACAACTTTCGCCTGTTGTATACTTTTGAAAAGACAAAACAATTTTGATTACCCACATTTTCTAGGATAGGCTGCCAGGCATGATTTTTTTGAAAGTGATAATTGCTAGATGGTATCTTATGTCACAGATTGAAAGCTGCTGAATATGGGTGGTGCACACTTACAACCCCTGACACTTGGAAGGTTGAGGCTGGAGGATTGTAAATTTGAGGCCAGCCTGGGCAACTTGAAACCTTATCTCAAAGTATGGAAAGAGCTGGAGATACAGCTCGGGGGTAGAGTGCCTGTGTGTTCAATCCCCAGTACTAGGGATAGAGGTGAGGATTGAAAGCTACAATTTTTTTAAAGCTTGCTTTTGGGAGATATTTTTACATGGCTTACTGTTTTATTGTTAAAGGCATGGTGGAGCTAGTTCCTGCCTCAGATACTCTCAGGAAAATCCAAGTGGAATATGGTGTGACTGGATCCTTTAAAGATAAACCACTTGCTGAGTGGCTGAGGAAATACAATCCCTCTGAAGAAGAATATGAGAAGGTGATTAGCATGTCTCCTTATTCTAAATAACTGTGAAAAGTGTGTCGCAGAGTTTTTAAGCTTTGATTGGCTAGTTCTGGTGACTAAGTAGTTGGTCTGTCAAGAAAGTAATGTCTTTCTGTATAGAAAAAACTGAGATAGAATGCATTTAATGGCAAGAATATGAATGAAACCATTGTTAAATTACCCCCCAGATATTCCAAACACATCCTTAAAGGCCAGCAAAACAGGTATTTTTATAATCCAGAGTTGTATTTTCCAAGTATCTTGGAAGAAGTTACAGAAATGAGTAAGAGCTGCATCGGATATCTAAGGGAAGAGATTATGGGTCTGACTGTCTAGGCTTGAGTTTTGCTCTCAAGTCACCAGCTACAGGGACTTGGGAGGGTTGTTTAACCTCCACGTGCCTCAGTGACCTCTGCTATAAAATATTATAGTTTACCTTATGTTATTATAGTATATACTGTGGCTATAAAAGTGATCATATATGGCTGGCACAGCGCCTGCCTGGCAAGCACAAGGTTGAGTTCGATTCCCAGTACCAGAGGTGGGGGGGGGGAAGGATCATGCAGGGTTGCTAAATTACTGTATTATAGTGAATGTGTATATTTACCATATAGAAAGCTCACAGCATTGAGAAAAGTATACAATCAACAGATGTTTTTCTTATTGAAAACATCAATTTTTTCGTATTTTTGTATTGTTTTGAATTACATGGGAGAAGATGGCAATCTTTAGTACACAGGTCTGTCATGATCCTAGCTTGCCTTAAGGAAAACTCACAAGCACTTTGAATGGTGATGTAAGAAGATCCCAGTTTTCATTGTCATTTAGCTGCCAAGTTTCTGTATCATTATTGTATCACTTTTATAAACAACAAGTGCCATTGTTGATTTGTGAAGGTAAAGCATGGGAATTTTTTCCTTTGCAGATCTTTTAGATTGTAAGGTCACTGCCTTTTCTTATTTCTTTGTAGACTTGGGGAAGCAGTGCAGCAGAAGCCAATACCTATTTATAGTAATGCTGGCTTGTGATTTTCTTAGTGAGTTGTCTGACACAAAACATTTGTAGCATACATTAAGCACCTGTTATGCTTTCCGCATTTTTATTGAGCAAGAAGTACAATGGAATCAAATTGGCTGAGTTTGATCCCTTGCTCTGCCATCTAACAGTTGTGATCTTGGGCAAATAACCTATCTGTGTTTCAGTGTCCCTTCTCTGTACGATGGTGAAAATAATAGTACTTAAGTCAGTGATTTGTCGTGAGATTATAAATGAGTTAATGTACATGCACAATAATATATGCAGAGATAGAGGTGGGAAGGCGTGTGCCTGGTTTGTGATAAGTGCTCTACAAAAATCTGCTATTACCATCTTTGGTAATGGTTTCTGGAGCGTTATGGGATAAAATTAGCCACATGGGCAAATAGAGCTACATGACTGCACTATTCAGAAATATAGTATTTTGAGCCAGACATAGTAGTACATGCCTGCAATCTGGGCACTTTGGGAGACTGGGGCAGCAGTGACACAAATGTCAGCCTAGCCTGGGCAGTTTAATGACTTAGTGGGATTCTGTCTCAAAAAATTTTTAAAAAAAATTTTTTTTTCTTTAAAGGCTGGGAATGTAGGTCACTGTGAAGGCCCTAGATTCACTCCCTAGTCCTACCACCAAAAAAAAAAAAAAGGAAGGGGGGTGGGATGCAGGTTTTGAAGATAAGCTAAATGTGCATGCTTTAGTTTTCACTCATTGTATACATCTTTTTATAGCCTAGTCCCGTGTGGTAAGCAGCAGAGTATGTGAGGAGCAGGGTTCCCACAAACATGTTTAAAGACTGTTCAGAGGCAGTGCGTACTCTTTAGCAGGGACTGATAGCATCCCTACCTGGTGAAAGACAAAAGTTGGAGAGCAGGGGCAGTAATTACTTTAAGAAGAGTATTGTTGAAATACGAAAGGCTGGTTTGTATTACTGTAACAGTTTTTTTTTTGCTATTGAGAGAGTAGATGATGACAGTGTTTTAAAAGTGAAAAGTTAATCTTTGTAAATCCTGTCCCCTTCAAAAGTAATTTTTTTTCCTAAAAGAATTTTACATCTTTATTCCAGGCTTCGGAGAATTTTATCTATTCTTGTGCTGGATGCTGTGTAGCCACCTATGTTTTAGGCATTTGTGATCGACACAATGACAACATAATGCTTCGAAGTACAGGACATATGTTTCACATTGACTTTGGAAAGTTTTTGGGCCATGCACAGATGTTTGGTAGCTTTAAAAGGTACTAATAGTGTTCTTATTACTGTTGCTAAAGAAATGAGACACATCTTGTTTCACAGATTAACATCCCAAACCTTGCCCTTCTTGCTCTGCTTTGTTATATGGCTCCCTTTGAACGTAACTGGGGATCAAAATGCCTGAAGAGTTGACTTTATATAGTAGTAGACAAAATGAGTGAATGTGTAAACTTTGTTGAAATGAATTGACATATCTAGTTTGTGGTATTAGAAATGTTTTCCCATTTGTATGATGGCATGAATATAAAATTTTTATGTTTGTAATCACTATTTATCTCTCTTTGGTTATGTAGATTTATAAGCATTACCTTGGAGAAATTTCCATGTATAAGATCTTTCCAAATAACGAAATTATTATGTGTTGAACTTTCCTACAAATAAACTTTTTAAGAATGAAAGAAGGCCAGGGATATAGGTCAGTGGCACAACGCCTGCCTGGCAAGCACAAGGGCCTGAGTTTGATTCCTGGTACCAAAATTTTAAAAAAGAATGAAAGAAGTTAGTTTAATAACTTCATAACAATAGCCCTATTTGAATATCTCCTGTTAGTAATATTGTGTGTGTACTTTCATTTTAAACAGGGATCGGGCTCCTTTTGTCCTTACCTCTGATATGGCATATGTCATTAATGGGGGTGAAAAGCCCACCATTCGTTTCCAGTTGTTTGTGGACCTCTGCTGTCAGGCCTACAACTTGATAAGAAAGCAGACAAACCTGTTTCTTAACCTTCTTTCACTGGTAACGCTGTTCTTTATAACCATTTAATTAATTTTATTTTAGTATATCTGTTTCAGTATCTAAAAAAGAATACTTTATGATCTTGGGAATACAATACTGTAGTGATAAATGTCACCTATATTACTGAAGTATTTTAAAATCACTGCTGCATAAAACAAGCCAGGCATAAAAAAGTACATACTTTACTCCATTTATTAAAAGGAAAAGTAGTGACCCTGGAGGCTGAGGAATAGTAATAGCTAAAGCTCAAGAGGCATTGGTGTCTTGGGATGCTGGTGAATGTTTTGTGTCTTAACCTTGGTGTGTTCAGATTGTGAACATTAATTAGCTGTACACTTAGAATTTCTACACTCCTGGGATATATATTCACTTAAATGTAAAATTTTAAAAAGAGTAAAATTAAAACCCAAAACCCTACTAGGATTTTTGTGACTGAAATTGATGTAATAAAAACAGCCCTAGAAAAAAGATTGTTTGGATTTCAAAACTTTTATTCATACATGGGCTTTATGATTTTCAACAAGTCACTTCATTAGCCTCTATTTTCTCCTTTATAAGGGAATCACTTAAGTCCCCAAAACACTAACACCTCAAAACAGTGCTTAGTTTTATTTACTTTAATTCTAGTTGCTTGACCAGCAGGAATTTTAACTCACAACCTTTTTTTCTTCTACAGATGATTCCTTCAGGGTTACCAGAACTTACAAGTATTCAAGATTTGAAATATGTTAGAGATGCACTTCAGCCCCAGACTACAGATGCAGAAGCTACAATTTTCTTTACTAGGTATGGCATATTTAAACATATTGTTGAGGGCACATAGAGTTTGGCTTGGATCTGATTTACTTAGTTTAGACAAAAACTATTTACCGAAAGCCTGATTTAGAGGAAAAAACTGTAATTCACAATATTCATAAATCATAGGTGTAAAGTGTTAGGCTGAGGGTGTAGTTCAGTGATGGAACACTTGCCTAGAATGTGGGAGTTCCTAGGTTCACTCCCTAGCCCTGCAAAAAGTAAGTTATTTACTGAGTAAATGTGAAAGGTCACTGGGTGTGGTTGCTCACACCTGTAATACCAGCATTTGGGAGGCTGAGGCAGGAGGATAGTCACAAGTTCAAGGTCAGCCTGAGCTACATGGTAAATTGAAGGCCAGGCTGAACTACATAACAAGACTGTCTCAAAAAAAAAAAAAAGATTTCTGTGCTAATTTGTTTTTCAGAATTACACAATAGTAATTTCCATGGACAGTTCAAGTGGTTAAAATAGCAAACTATCAGACACTGCTATAGTTACTGTGACATGGTATTTAAAACACATATACCAGTGGCTGGCATTTGGATTTGTCATTATTGCTTTAAAATCAGATTTTCCTGGCAAATGAGTTCTTAAGATCTGGTGACCAGGTTGGTCACAGACTACTGCTGCCACATCATCATAGCACCACAGCCGGGAGGGGCACCAGAGCTCATGTCCTCTTCTCTGCTTTTTTCCTTGCCTTCTGCCTCTCAGCAAAGACACGGGACTAGTTTTTCTTAGTCTCAGCACTTAGAGGACCAAAATAAATTGAAGGAAGCTGACTTTTGCATAGCCTTTCGAACTAATTCTGACAGTTTAGGTGATGGGTTTTGGTTTTTGTTTGTTTTTTTTTTTTTTGGAAGAGACTCATTTGCTTCAGTGGGTAAAACTACAGAGCAGGTGTACATTTGTCCATTTGAACTTTCATAACAAAATACCATAACCTGTGTGGGTTAAACCACGGAATTTTACTTTCTTACAGTCCTGAAGGCTGGTAGTACAAGATCAAGGAGTAGGCTGCTTAGGTTCATAAGGCGGGCTCCCTCCCTGAACTGTTAAGTGGCTGCCTTCTTGCTGTGTCCTCATACTGGATAGAGAAAACTCTTGCCTTGTATAAGGACACTTACTGGACCCAGGCTCCACCCTTATACCTCATTTAATCTTAAGTCTTTAAAGGCCGTATCTCTAAATAAATTCACATTTGGGATTGGGCTTCAATGTAAGAATTGCTGGGAATACACACATTTAGTCCTGTGTCTGGGGTTCTTTCACTTACCTTTTTTGAATACATCTCCTTACTATCTGACATCAAATTCTAACATTGTACTTTTTGTTTGTTATTTGAGATAGGGTTTTGCTACCTTAGACTGGCCTTGAACTCACTATTGTAGCCTAGGCTGGCCTCAAAGTTGCAATCCTCCTATCTTAGTTTCCTGAATAATGGGATGTTGGGGGTTCACCACCCTACCAAGGTTCCGTTGTACCATGTGATAGAAATTTTAAATTTGAACTTTTAAAAACTTTTTAATGGTACTGGAATGAAACACACATGTAAGCTTATTTTTATATCTGCCACTAAGCCTATTTTTTTATATTGAGACATACTCTCACTCAGTTGTCCAGGTGGGACTCGAACTTGTGATTCTCCTGCTTTAGCCTCTCAGAGCGCTGGAATTACAAGCATGTGCCACGGCGCCCAGCTTGAATTTTCATAGTAAGATAATCAAGTCACCTTTTGCATGTTATTTCAGTCATCTACCCCAATAGCTCTTTCATTGGTATTGGAGCTCACAGGGCTCAAGAACACTGAGCATCATTTCTTTCTTGTGCTAAAATTTTTGAGGATGAGATATATTCTAACAGATCTTTGGCCTAAAGAACAAAGGAAGTCCTTGGTAGAGGGAGACTCTGTTTAATGCTTTTAAAAGTGTTTTTTATCCTTTGTTATGTTGAAAGACTATAGTATGTGTTGCCGTGAAGATACTTTATTAACAAACATTCTAATTGTTTTGTAGGTTGATTGAGTCCAGTTTGGGAAGCATTGCTACAAAGTTTAACTTTTTTATTCACAACCTTGCTCAACTGCGTTTTTCTGGTCTTCCTTCTAATGATGAGCCCATCCTTTCATTTTCACCCAAAACATACTCCTTTAGACAAGATGGCCGAATTAAGGAAGTCTCTGTTTTTACATACCATAAGAAATACAACCCAGATAAACATTATGTGAGTTTGGTTTTAATATCTACAGACAGTCTTGCATGTTATTGTTGTCCCTCATACGCCCTGCATTAACTCTGTGGGAGAACAAACATATGTTCTGTTCGTGCTTGTTTCTTCCATGAATGGTCTAAAATTAAGTAAATGTACTTGAAGCATCCCCATCTCCTTTTTTTTTGAGACAGGGTCTCACTATGTAGTTCAGGCTGGCGTCAAATGGCGATCCTTCTGCGTCAGCCTCTTGAGTGCTGGGATTATACGTGTGTGCTGCCATGCCTGACTGTTAAATTTATTTTTAAAATTATGCAAATGAAAGGATATTCTTTCTTCCAGAGATTAAGACCAAAAGAGTAGTTTTACTCTGCTTTCTCTGCTTTTTTTTGGTGCTGGAAATTGAACACATCCTACTCTCTACTAAAGTATTACAGCACAGAGTTTGTTTGCTTTGAATGGATTTTTGCTGTTCTTTTTCTTACACAAGATTATAACATTATTGCCTTTTTTGCTTTTTTTTGTGCTCTTGTTCTAATTTTCCCCCACTTTTGCAATGCTGGGAATCAAAGCTAGGGCCTTATGCTTACTGAGCAAGCACTCTTCCACTGAGCTACACCCCCAAGTACTGGGCTGTTTTTGTTACATAATAGTTCTCAGCATTGTCAGTTTTTAAAATTTCTTAATTGATAGATTTTAAAAAGTCATTTCTCTTTTTTTAGTTTTACCCGGTACCAGGAATCAAACTCACAACCTTGCGCTTGCCAGGCAGGCGCTGGCTGCTGAGCTAAAGCCCCCAGCCCCTCCTCATTTCCCTATTTTAAGCATTTTATTGGTCATTCATTCTTTCCCCAGTCATTTATATAATTGCACTGTCAACATACCAAATTTTTAGAAATATATATCCCTCAATTCACTTCTGGTTTTCTGTCATTATCTCTGACCCTTCACATCAGTATTATATTATAATCTTTTTTTTGTACCAGGAATTGAACTTAGGACCTCATGCTTGCCAGGCAGGCGCTGTGCCGCTGAGCTATATCCCTGTCTCCAATATTATAAATCTTTAAGGCACCATAACTTGAAATAGCCTAAATAAAGCTAAGAAAACATATTTATTTTCCCTCACTTTGTAATATTTTGCCTTTTTTCTATTGCTTTTTTTTTTTTTTAATGGTGCTCGGGATGGAACCCAGCTGCATCCCTAGCCATCCATTTACTTTTTT